ATTATTTAAAAGTGTTCTCTCTGTAGAATAATATAGATAAGAGAGAGAGAGCAGCAGGATCAGACGTTGAGAAATATGGATAAGGCGCTTGTAATGTAACAAACTTCTATTTCTGATCAAATAAAAACTGATTTTTTTTTGCTTGAATGTCTTCTGTCAAGATACAGCATCGTGATTAATAATCGACATAAGCTTTAACTCTGTTTGCTCTAAAACACGAACTACGCTGTACCGGATGTCGTCTCTTCGTAACATGTCTTGCGTACAGAGTATGGTAACTCCTTTTGAGAGCAAAATTAAACAACTGGAAATTTCGTACACATGACGTTTCCGAAAATTATTTAATAGAAGAATATTTCTCATTAAGTAATTGTAAGAAGAGCTGTTCCTCCCTGTATACCTATCGCAGAATATGAAATTTCTGTTTTGCTCTAAATTTGGAAAGTAAGAGGCATATTACAACACAATATAAGAGCGCATACTTTTTGGAGATAATGGCTAATGTAAAACGGGATTTATATGCCACAGTAGAGAAAGGTTTAAACATATTTTTGATATTTTTTAAAAAAGTGAATAAAATGGAATTGTATTACATATTGTGCGTGTCTGTGTTAATGGCATTGTGCAACTCAAGCACGGTGCATTGTGCCAGTGTCGTTTGTAGCGTTTAATTTCTCATTTTGCTGGACCTTCTGCAAAATTAAGCATTAGTTGAAGAGAAATCTGCACATCTGAATGTCGGAAGCTTCCAAGATGCAAATTAAGGAGGCTACTAAACCTTTTTTTATTTCCAATGGCGGGCACTAGCCATTATAGGCGTAGGCCACTACTGACGCCGGAGCCGCTGGTCACTTTATTATATAGGCCACAGTTAGCTCCTATGAAGGGCCATCCATGCCTTCTCCCGAATTCGAACCCGGGCCCTTCGGTACCATATTCCCATCTGGGCGTCAGAAGCTACTAAATTATAGTTAACTTGTAGAGACATTAGGTATTTGTTTGGAAGCAGGAGTCATGAAAAATGAGCAACGTCCTCGCCGGGAATAGAACCACGGACTTCTGGAATACGCGGCCAGCGTGCAGACCACTACACTACGAAGGCATGCTAAGAAGGCGGGAGAAATGCCTTATAAACTATCGTTTAGTAGTATGCTATAGTATAGTTATATATATGCTATAGTATAGTTATATATATGCTATAGTATAGTTAGGCTAGCAAACTATATCTAACTATTGAAGACATTAGTCACTAACTATGGATCCAACTTCAAAAGTCTGTTTCGAACTCTAATTTCAGACATGGGTATATATTAGAATATTCTCGGAGATAAAAGGCGCAAATTTTCTAATCAGTTTTATTTTAACTGTAATTTTGACTTAACACATAATCTTAAGTATTTTTGAAGTACGTGCAAATTCCAGTTTACTGTATGACTATTTATGATGAGCAATGAAGTATTTTTGAGTCACTTGAAACTGTGCTTTCGAACTTAGCGAGAAGATTAAACGTAGAAACTAAAGTAATTATGCTATCATTACTGTGCTAACAACAGTTAAGTCTTGCAATTAACTAACAAAGTTGCATGTGCCATTATATAATCTCCTACTGACGCAATTTCCGCAGAGTTCTTAACAGGAAATGAAATGTACAGGGTGTTAACGTCAGCTTCTTAGCATATTTAATTATACTCCAAGAAATCCAAATCTAATATGGTTAAGGCAACTCTAAGCACTTAATTCAAGATAAAGGGCAGGATATCAAAAGAATTAGTGTAATATAAAGTTATTAGAACAAGGTAATGTCCTTTAACGTATTTTGCTACTTACAATTTTCAGTTATCATTACTTATATTATTAAGCAAACGTAATCTCCATAGCAGAAAAATAGTATTAAAATATTTCAAATTATAGAACTAACTTGAAAAAATCTGAAAGGTTTCAGATTTTAAATTACGTTCAAAGCGGCGTTTTTAAACGTTCTATGTGTTGCCTTTATTTATTAAATATCCTGTTCTTTGCATTTAAAGCATAAAATTCAATTCAGTAGCAATGTCGCAAAGTAATTTTTAAAATGTATATCTTTAGAATTTCCGATACACAGTTCCGCGTGCTGGAGATAAAAAGTCCCCCCGCGGTAGAGTGTTGCCATTGCTCGCTTTGAAATCCTTGAGTTTGTTAATAAAAAATTCGTTAAAGTTTTACAAAATATTAAATCGATAATAAAACAAATTCCAAATTTCAAATTTGGTCTTCCACATGCCCATATTCGTAGGAGGATTACGTCATTCAAAAATTGATGGCTTTATGTACCGTTGTTTTATCACAATGCGAGAAATATACATTCATTTATGCAGATTTTTCATTATTTAATTTCTTCAAATATAAGGCAGGACTCTAACATTTGGTGGCAACAGTTTGAAAAATGATACGCCGTTTATAGTGATTCGACGCAAAATGCCAAAACGAAAACAATAGTCCTTAAGGGACAAATCCCCTTTGGACTAATAATTCATAATTCAGAGGCTCAAAATTAATAATTTTATATCAATATCTAATCATGAAAACTATTAAGCACTATAGTGGAAAGAGGGATCATTTAAATGCCATAATATAGTACACTTGCGGTGCATAATAAAGGATTCGCTAATTAGTAATCCTGGAAATCCTATAATTGTCCTTAACTAGACACAGCCATAATAGAAAGCACTATGACTAACTCTTAACTAAATGAGGAGAATGCTGTGTCTATTCGATCCCCAAAACTCGCTTAGAAACTTAGCAAATGAAATGAACATGTTTTTCTCTCATTATTACCTATTTAAATACACAAGTAGTCCTTGCAGTCATATTCCTCATGCGTTAAAAGGCACAGTTTAGAACAAATGCGCAATAATAGTAATGATAATAATATACAAGTAAACGCCTGAATTCATTACATATTTCCATTTATATATAAATTTTATGCAATAATATAAAACTTATGCCATAAAATGCGCTATCAAATTGATTTATGTCTATGCCAGTTGATAGATATGTTTATACCAAATTTTCAGCACATTAGGATGCCAACGTAATTAATCGTATTCGAGAACGGTGATAAAACTAGACGTTATGAATTATTCAACTTTGCTTTCGGAACGTTATCAGTTTCAAATGAGAGATTTAGGATAATAGTGGGCATTAAAGTGATCTAATATTTCTGAAGTTCGAATGTTAATAGCAGAAATTTTCGGAAAAGCAAGAAGCTGCACTGTCGTGCAAAAGAAAAATCTTGTAAGCTGAACAGTAATATATTTGTGACTATTTCTCAGTTATTAGATATGCATATTATGTAAAATTTGATATGTATTTTAAATAAGCTCATTAAAATAAGAATTGCTCTTGAGATGTGCAAAAAAAATCAGATTATTTTATTTAGGAAATGAGAGGGTTATACTGAACCTCAAAACCTCAAGAGACCAAAACTAAATTTCATCAACTCCCTTATTTATTAGTCCAAAGGGGCTTTGTCCCTGAAGAACTATTGTTTTCGTTTTGGCATTTTGCGTCGAATCACTATAAACGGCATATCATTTTTCAAACTGTTGCCACCAAATGTTAGAGTCCTGCCTTATATTTGAAGAAATTAAATAATGAAAAATCTGCATAAATGAATGTATATTCCTCGCATTGTGATAAAACAACGGTACATAAAGCCATCAAATTTTGAATGACGTAATCCTCCTACGAATATGGGCATGTGGAAGACCAAAATTGAAGTGGTTTATCACCCAGTATTAACCTTTCAATACAGCAACTACAGTACAGAAGAAGGTTTAAGTAACTACAGTACAGAAGAAGGTTTAAGTAACTACAGTACAGAAGAAGGTTTAAGTAACTACAGTACAGAAGAAGGTTTAAGTAACTACAGTACAGAAGATGGTTTAAAGTAAACTTCTTTTACTAGCCGTCAGCCTAACAGTACACAATAACCTATGCAATAACGGAACTTAAATTTCTCAACTTGCGGGAATAACAAAAAACAAAACTTAAAGTAAAATTTAAATATTCAAATAATGAGGCTTACAAGGCAAAGCGCGCTTACAAATTTTGACTCAGGCTCTCAGTTTACGCAAACAAGTAAGAGCTAACGAGGTTCAAGCCGATGCATGTAATCAAAAGCTGTGAGAAACAGTAGTGAGACGGTCGTAGTTGCCACAAGTTATCTCAAGAACTCAAGAATTCTAGGCTTAAAGACATTAAACAAATTTGCATCCTGGTGGGAGCCGTCGAAAGTAGAAGCAACAGTAAGGAGAAATTTAATAAGATAACTGATTAATAAATATTAAACCCTACACTGTGTTTATCGTTTTATATTTTTAAGGCGAAAAGTGTTAAGCAATTAAAGAACTATTTGGAATATTTTATCGATTCTTCTGGAAACAAAGCAATGTACTTTGTTTCATTGCTTTGTTTCCAGAAGTGAGAACAGAAGAAAGAGATGTGAAACTATGTTCGTTTTGTGATTAAGCCTATAAACGAATCCATAATGACATAAAAAATAAAGTATAGTCTTACTCTGAGTTCCAGTTTTCTCCACTGAAAATATATACTTTGAAATAGTAGAAAATGAACCTTAGTACGAAATGCTGAAATTTGATACTTAGAATGAAATCTAAGGTATAAGTGGGCTTTCATAAAAAATAAAAAATTGTGATTTTCAATTCATTTAATTAATTTCAAAATCAAGATATTATGTTCTTGAAAAGGAATAATGTTTGTTTCTAGCGCACTGATCTAGGTTCATTTCTTACCTGAAAATGAAAATGCATAAAATAAAATGCGAAAAGGAAAGAATAAAACATAAGCAAAACAGATATGCAAGCTAGATTACCAAAGAAAATACCATTAGAATACCAACTAGTACCTTTCTGTGATTTTTTAATATTCTTAGTTATAATGCATTTCGCAGGCTGTTGGAAAAGAAACTGATATATTTTTCTGGATTTTCTAACTTTTAGGGTCTACCAGCTATCCAGTTTGAACCAGCTTCATCAAATAAACAAGGAGCTGCTAATCTACTTCCAACTCCGAAAGTTTCTGTCAGTGTCATTCAAAATGTCGAGTCTCCGGATAGCCAACGCCCTCTCTTAACTTCGGAAGGATCATCCACCGGTCGGGCATTTGGATCTGCTAATTTGAATACTTCGTCACCAACTGCCCTTATGCTTAGTCGTTCCAGTTTTTCATCCACAAGCGAAATATCATTCTGCTCTTCTGATACACTGCCTGGTAGCAGGAGGGGATCTGTTCTACCACTTCAAGATATTCCAAGGGGAGGGCTTTCACCAGTGGGAGAAGTTAGCACTTTGCCCTCTCTACCGGATGAATCATCAGGAGAAGCTAAAGACGATTCTGACTGCCTGGATGTGAATTCCACTGTAATCGAAATACATACTGCAACTCCTCCATTAGCACACGCTACACCAGGTAAATTATTTTATTCCATTTAAAAATTTTAACTGCATAAAATTTAACAAAATAGACGATTCACTAAATTAATTCTAATATAGATGAAAATCCAATTTTGCTTATCCAATCCCTCAGTTTTATTTACAATCTCAGAGATGGTCATTTGTTTATTTAGAATCATATGTTGGCTTGAACATACGGTGTAACAACGTAGTCATGTGTAGCAGACGCACTGTGTTTTTAGGCTAAGTTATGGTATTATCCTCCTGTAATGGGAAGCGGTTTTATCAAATTACCTCAGGTGATTTCTGTGATATACTTGGGTATTCTGAAGCAGGTGCATTGTAATTGGGATTGTTAAACAGCACTTGCACATTAAATTGAAGGTGCATTTCGGCAAGAAAGAAAAAGTGACTCGAGGTAATGGGACATAAAAATATAGTTACTGTTACAAAACTTAATATTTGTATAGTATTCCATGTCTAAATATCATGCTAAATACAGGGTGATTATAATTAAAGTTTAAGTTTCAAAACGCTATAAAAAAAGAACCACTCATGAAAATGACGTCAAATTTGAAAGGAATGTTATTGAAGAAGGCGGAAAGCGTATGGCAGAAGAAAAAATTTAGTTTCAAAAGTTAGCAACAGATGGCGCTGCAAGCGGAAGAAGACGTAAATTAAAATGTTAGTTAAATTTCAGTGTTATAAAGCCGCCAGGTACCAGGCTGTTCCTCATTTCGCGTCTCAGACGTTCGCCATGGGTGTTTCACTGCAGGACGCGCTCTGCTGGTAAAGCTGTATACAAGAATGATGATTGTGCAAGAGTAGCTTCTGCAAAAATTCAGTACACTGAAAGGGTATAAAAGAAGGCGTTGGTCCAATAAGTGTCTTAGGATCTAAAGAAAATGAATGCAAAAATTCGAAAACGACAGGTTCGTTTGATGTGCAATCTGGTAGAGGGAGAAAACGAGTGTATTCGACGGTAGTTGAAGAAATGGCCACAGCATTACAGTAGGGGTCGGCCGGTGGTGTGCAACAGTGCAGTGCACAAGGAATTGCCCGGAACATTGGACAGGCCTACGAGCACGGTGCTGAAAATTATACGAAACATCCTGCAATGCTATCCGTACAAAATTGGCCATGTGCAGGAGTTGCTTCCGCCTGACCTGACAGCTAGGGAGACGTTTGCGTTAGAATCCCTGGCTCGCAGGGAAGTGGATAATGAATGGCCGTGGAAAATTTTGTGGGACAGATGAAGCCCATTTCCATCTGACAGGGTACGTGAATACCCAGAATTGTCGAATATGGGCAACAGAAAATCCACTGGCAACGCACCCCGTACCACTTCATCCTGAAAAGGTCACGGTATGGTGTGGCTTTACGGCATCATTCATCCTAAAACCATATTTTTTCGAGCAGACGGCTGCTTCCGGTCCTGTTACCGCAACCGTCACTGGTCAGAGGTATGCGTCTCTTTTGCGCAACCACGTGATTCCAGCTCTGCAACAGCGTGGATGTGTGGATGAAATCATTTTTATGCAAGATGGCGTTCCTCTGCACATTGCACATCCCGTGAAGTAGCTGCTGAGGCGCCATTTTGGAAATGCTCGAATTATCAGCCGTCATTTCCCTACAGCCTGGCTGTCCCGATCGCCTGATCTTACTCCGTGTGATTTCTGGCTGTGGGGATATCTGAAGGATGTTGTGTTCCGTGCTCCAATTGCAAATTTAGCGGAATTAAAGGCACGCATTTCGCAACACATTCTGAACATCACCCCGGAGACACTGCAATCCGTTGCGGAACATGCTGTTTGTCGCTTTCAACTTGTTGCACACAATGGTGGATACCATATTGAACATGTTTTGTGCCAGTCTCGCGACAGTTCCGAACTTCTTTGATGAATGGTTCTTATGCGGTATGTCGCCGCAAAACTCTTGAAAACCGATTTGTCCCTTTCGATGTGATATGTACAGTCATGCAAATAAAATTATTCAACAATTCTAATTTCTCAATGCGTTTTAATGTGTAACTTCTACCTTAGCCATTGTTTTACGAATCGTTTATCGTTTCTCGTCGTGATTCTGCCGCTTACAGCGCCATCTGTTGCTAACTTTTGAAACTACATTTTTTCTTCTGCCATACGCTTTCCGCCTTCTTCAATAACATTCCTTTCAAATTTCACATCATTTTCATCAGTGGTTCTTTTTTTATAGCGTTTTGAAACTTAAACTTTAATTATAATCACCCTGTATATTATGATAAATAAAATTAGATAGCAATGAGAAATAAATGAGTTATTTTGAATATTTTGCCTTTAAGTATGAAATTAATGTTAAAATAAACAGTAGAACATTACTGCAAAAGCGAAATAAAGAGCTAAATTTGGTAGACCCTTTTGTAAAATGCCTGGAAAAAGGATTTTAAATTCGGAAAAGATAAAATTTAAGTTCAGGAGCAAATCTGTTAATATGTGTTGAAAAAATTCTAAGATTTCTTTTGATGTGAGAAAATGAATAATTTTTCATTGAAATTTTGAAAATCTTCGAGTAAGATATGCGAGCTATTGAATGTAAGTAAATCTATTGTTCATAATGTAATATCCTAATACATGGAAACAAACTACAAACAGGGCGTCTAGGGCATTTCATTGAAAGCAAAGAAAGGTGGATTATTAGAATTTTATTTGTAATACTAAAATGAGTGCATTTACGTTGACTTTAGGAGTCCAATGAATGTTTTCCAAGGTTGCTAATGAGTAAATGATTAAGAATAGTTTAAGGAAATATAACATTCATGGACAAATGGATAGAAGAAAAGCGAACTGAAAGTCACGGTAACAAGTTACTGCATTAAAAGGCCTTATGAGTTTTGGAATTTGGTAATGTTTTGGGGAATGATAGAAAGCAAAACATATGGCGAAAACTCCGTACTGAAGCTCAAATGGAAAACATTACTCCTTCAATGAAACATGGTGAGGATACACAGATGTTCTGGACTAAGCATTTCAAACTCAGTACTTCAAGTGGGTTATCAGCTCAAAATAGTGCTAGCAGCAGGGGAAAAACAAGGAATTCTCAAATCTATGATATATTTAAAAAGTGTATAGTGTATAAATTCTTACTTAATATCGTAGTTCTTTAAAAAAATAGAAAGAACATAAAATTCTTGCAGTAGGTAATGGATAACTATTGTTCCTTTACCGATACCTGGCATCTTTTTCCCTCAGTCAGGTTTGAAGATATACTGCACGCTCTAGCGATTTTCAGAACGCGGGTTACATGAATGTCAGCTTAAGATGAATTCGCTGGGACTTCTCATAAGCGGGAAAAGTTGTTCACACTGCTACTTTTTACCGAACATGGAAATGCTGCAAATTAGCAGCTTTTTGGGAACCGCGTAGATAAGTAATTGTAAAATTCGGGGAAGTACACTTCAGTAAATTTTTGCTTTAGACTTCAGTGGTATTGAAATTTTATTAATTCCATTTGTAAGTGGTCTAGCACTTTCCGAAAGTCGAATGCCAGGCTATTAACAGATGGACAAATGGACAAAGATATTTTCTCAATGAGAAAATGCGTTTATCGATTTAAAGTGTTCTTTTTAGCACACGATGTTTTATATACTCCCCAATTTTAGGAGAAATGCCAATTTTCCATAACCTATTATAACTATAGACTTTTTGTTATTTTTCGGGGTGATCCAAGAGCTGGAGAAAAGGGAGTCAAGGCCATATGCGCCCGCTAGTTGACATGTTTAGTTTGGATTGTATCAGTTTTTGCGAGGATAGAAATGTACATTTTGCTGATCTCAAGATAAACACATTTTATTTAAATATTTTAATACAAAACGGTTTAGCTTAACAAAACATAGCTCTTAAAAATGCGCATAGTGTCGCTGTACTATCTTCATCAGGACAAATTATCCCAAGTAAAATTTTTTGGAAATTGCGAATTCCAATAGAATTGCCCACATGTTGTTAAAACGCCTACGCGGAGACCAGCTCTTAATCGTTCTGATCATATTTGATATTAATAAATAAATAAATAAATTTATTAATTAATAAATAAAAATTTCAGCAGAGATGAATTTAACGACAAACTCGTCATGGAAGAAAAAATCAGAAGCAAATCTCAGTCAGCATTATGTGAAATCCATGATGAGTATAATCAGTGAGGTTATAAAAAGGAAAGGATATTAGAAAACTCAGATTTCAGAAACACATTTTTAAAGTTATCTAAAAATATGTTTGCTTGTCTCAATAATTTTTTTACCATTACTTTCTGGTTTGTACAGACGAAATACATAATTTAATACTTATTTAACATTATTTTTGTTTACTTTTAATAATTTTCGATTTTGTTTATCCCTAAAATAAGGCTCATGAGAAAAATATTTCTCTTAAGCTAAATATTTAATTGTTCTTTCAATATGTGTTTACAAATCATCTTGTGTCGCAGTATCTTTTTGACTCACTGTATATAACATTGCATTAAGTACTACTTGTTTCCTAAGCCAGTATACGTAATTTAAGTGTCGTTGATTTCGGAAGAACGCCACACTGATTTGAACCGAAAAATATTCCAAAGACTAAGCGTTTTTAACTGTTTCAGTTACCGCTAACAGAAGAGCATTAGTGCGAAAAGGTCAAACTCTAAAAACGTATGTGTTGCTTCATTCTTTTTTACGAAACCTAAGGATGGGATGACAGAAACTTTAAATTATATGCATATATACAACGATTACATCCTCTTCTTTGGAAGTTCAGACTAGTTTTGGCCATATAATTTACCATATACTAGAAGGATGATTAAAAATAATTTCCGTTCAATTATTCCCAGACTTCTTGGTTTCGGGAGTATGAATTTCCGGACTTAACGTTGTCAGACTTCATTCCTTACAGGTATATCAATTACAAAATGTATGCGACAGTATTCGGAGTTTTAAATGACAAAATGTGTCAGAAATCCATCAAGTTATAGCTATCATTCTATTGCGCTTGTGAAATTTTCATATAC